CGTCGGCAGCAGAGACAGCGCGGGCTTGAAAGGGGCAGTGATCCATGGGCCGGGGAGAGGTGGTTCAGGGAGCAGTCCCACTCCGGCCCTCTGCTCCAGCTGCCTGCCGCAAAACCCTTCGGCACGGCCCAATGGCTCCACCGACGGAGCCTCACAGCTCCAGGGCAGCAGCCTTTTTCCAGCTGTTGCCTTTTGCTGCAGCTGCTGACAGGAAAGAATTTGATTTTCCGCTCTAGATTGTGCTCCCCAAAGAAGGATTTTCTGTGCCTGACTTGTAATGCCAGCTCCTGCTGGCTTTCTTCAGGGAAGTGACCAAAAATAGGCTCCAGACCCAAGAAATAAGCCCCCTGAGCTTTCAGCCTTATGGCAAGTGCTCAGCACTCCAGTAAAAGTGGTGCTAACGTGACATGTGCCAGCCTTAGGGCCCTGATTTAAATAATTTTGGAGGCCTCAGCAGTCAGGAAACCTTCAAACTAAGCAGTCCTGGTGCCCTTTTAACCTGCTGCCTGGCACAGGAGCCTTCTCCTGCAGCCGTGAGCACATGCATTCCTTCACTAAAAAACCAAAACAGGCTGAAAAGGAAAGTTCTGGCCAGTACATTCATTCCAGAGCAAGTGCTGGAGACGGTGAGGACTGCACTTAAACCCCAGCACTGGCAACACGACGAGCGACCTTCCAGCCGTCGCACGGTTCCCATTTCTTTCCCATTCCTCGCGGAAAGACCCTCCAGCAGCGAGCTCTCACCTTTCCTGTTGGATCTCACAAGCGACAGGATCACCGCCTCCTTCTCCCTTCCCTGGAAACCGTCAACTGATTTAACTTCTAGTTCTGGGTACCTGTGGCAAAGGTGCTCTCTTAGCATGTCCACCTGAAAAACACATGACAGGCCTCTTTTAAAGAAAAGCTTGAGGTGAAAAGGATTCAAATGGTGCCATTTTGGTAAAGTTCCTTCCTCAAACCCCTAAGGATGAGCATTCGCATCCCCTGAAGGTCAAGTGCCAACTCCAGAGGCTGGAAGTGGAAAATACCCATCTAATGGCTCTTCCCTCCATGGCCTCAAGCTCCATCAGTGTGGGCAGTTGGCCTCAAGTGCTGGCTACGGAGTCTGGCTCTGCTGCCTTCCACCTTCATCCCACTGAGGACATCCCGGTGTTGCTCCTGAAGGCACCTAGAATCCAGCTCCGTGAGTCTGCTCCACATGCGTGCGGAGAGAGGAGGTGCCAGGAGAGGGTCAGCTCACCTGAAGGTTGTAGGGGGCTACGACAGCCACGTCTCGCGCCTTCACGCCGGCCTCCACCAAGCCCTGGACGTGCAGGCCGGCCAGCTGCACCTCCCCTAGGGCAGAAAGCAAAGGGACGGTGATGGGAACAGGCAGAGGCCGCTGCCACCAGCTCGGACGTCGCCGTGGCTCGGAGGCATCCGCCCACCTCCCCCTAAAGGGCAAGGAAAGGTTAAGGAAAGTCCTGGGTGGAACGTGGGGGTGAGGATTCCCAGCCTGGCCGGCTTGGCTAGAGGGTGGCGTGCTGCATGGCCCCGCTCCAGGGCTGCCCAGCGCTTCCTTCTTGCCTTTCCAAGCCACCAGCTCACTGGAGAGCTTCTGAACAGCACTTGGCTCTCTCTGGCCTTCCCTATTAATCCAGGAGATCAAGGATAACCCAGGCAATAGAGTATCCTCCCTCTAAAGCGAGACCTGAGGCCTCACTAAAAATTCAGTTCATTCTCTATGCTGCAATTGAAAAAACCTCCACCTTTCCTTCTGACTCCGCTTTCTCAGTCCCCGCGTTTCTAAACCCCGGAGTGACTTTACCCCGTTTTGCAGCAAAACACAGGTATGAAAACCAAGAAGCACGCTGCACACCCTCAGCGTGGCCCAGTGGCCACCCTGCTCTGCTCAGAGTCCTTTGGCTTGAGGATTTACAGAGGAAATGATGTCTCTGGTAAGCCAGGCTCCCTGGGGACCCACCCCTGCTCCCCGCTCGGGGGTACACCTCTGGGACAGGGCTCAGCTGGTGCAGGGGCCAAGCCCGTGGGAGGCTGAGGGCGTCAGACAGTTCCGGCCAACACAGTTTTCTGAACGACGGTACCTGGATTCCCTTTAGACTGTTCCTCTTCCAATTCCAGCTCAAACAGGCCGCAGCCTGCGGTGTCTATCAGCAACAAGGGAATGGTGGTCTCGTCGGTCGAGGTGACACCCGGCAGGTCCCTGCACAAGGAATCAGGGACAGGCAACAACACTGAAATTACACCAAAGGGCGGCTCACCCCCCCCCAACGACACTGCAAGGACAGAGGAAAACCAGCTGGATGCTGCTCCCAAGGGACCGACAGCAGTGTCCCATGGGGGATCTGCACGAAGACTGGCTCTGGAGGTGGTGAAGAACGACAGGAACTGAGAACTGAGGTTCCCCCTTCTGCTCCGCCAAGCTCTGGATCCCTCTGCATCTGCCGCTAAGAGCGCGTCACCGAGGGCGGGCACTGAGCAGGACCTTCAGCCCCGGGGGGGTTCCCCGGCTTCCAGCTCCAGGCTTCCTGTGCTCAGCGCCGGGACAGCGGCCCCATCCAATGCCACAGCAAGTCCCAAGAGGCCCAGGGGAGCCTGGCAAGGCCAGAAAGCCGTAGCCGAAAAGCCGTTACTGCTCTCACGGGGCCGGCTAGCAGCGCCAAGCGCTTTCTCGCCAGCCAAGGTCAGGGAATGTCCCGTGGGTGGTAGTGTCTTGCCGAAATGGTCTCCCACAGGGAAGAGGTGCAGACCTAGGGAGGCATGGCAGCTGCTTCCTGGTTCTTCCGGTGTTGAGAGGGAGAAGGAGTGCCTGGAGCATTACGAGAGGTTTGGCAGCCGTGCTGCCGGGCAAGAGAAGAAAGCGCAGCACATGGAACCACAGAGGAATTGGGGTTTCACATCATTCTACAGCTAAACCTGCTGCATTAAAAAAAGATAATTCCTAAACCATATGTCAATAGCCAAGGAAGTTGCTGGCTGAATCCATAGCCTGGGAAGAGGATGGGTGATGGAGGGCAGGACCGGAAAGCCTGGAGATGGCAGGAGAGCTCTGGAACAACGACGTGTTACCGTACATCACATACAGATCATGGAGAGCTGTGACTCCGGAGTCTGCAAATCCACAAGGCAGATGGCGAGCCACCCAAAAGGAGGATTTTCCCCAAGCGACTGGCAGGGAAGGGAGGGCAAAGGCAGTTCCCAGTGCCAGACAAGACCCCTGCTGCAGCCTCTCCTTCCCCAGACTCCCGGCCTGTTCCTCTGTGTTTTTATGGCCCTCGCTTCCCCTGGATACGGACATCACTCACTGCAGTGACAAAAGTCTCTTCTCTCGACTGAAACTCCTTTTTCTCCTGTCTGAAGCTCCTGCTGTTGCAATGCACGGCTGGGAGGTACGGAGATCAGTGCAGCTACGGCAGGGAGCCAAAACGCTGCAAAAGAACTCGGGATGCAGCTTCCTCAGTCCCATGGCAAGCCAGAGCCCCAAGGAAAAGCTCTTCCCTGGCGCTGGGACCGGCTGCCTCCATCCAGCGACCGGATTCTAACAGAGGCACAAAGTGCCTTCCCAGCTTCCAAGAACCCCAAGGACCAGCAGCCAACTTTACTATCCATGGTCTCTGGAGTGGGGCCGTTTCCAGGTGCCATTGGTGTTTCCTCACCTGTGGAGGGCATGACAGGTTTATGTCCCTCCCTTTGCAACATCAAACCTCACAGGCTCCCCCGCCCCTTTCTACCCGCCCTGCTTGCTGTCCTACCGCTGTCCACGTCCGTGCAGACAAAAGGCACTGAGCCAAAGCCAAGTGGAGACAATCCTGATCCTTTGCCTACCCGTGCTGGCCACGGAAAGCCCCTGCAGCACCTCTCAGTGCCAGGAAAAACCTCGACCCTGGGGCTGTCACTTCAGAGGAGCAATTATCTACGTGAATCTTTCAGATGAAAGAACTCGTGCTCTCCTGAGGCAGTGAGATTGCAGCAGAATCGGCTGTTGCCTCGGGAAAACCTGCCCAGCGCTTTGCCATCCTGTCAGGATGGAGAGGAAGGGCATTTCTCCCACCCGCTCCCAACTAGCCCAGCTGCAGACAGCAGTTTGCTCCTGGAGAGATCCTCAGTCTGTGACGACAAACCAGGCTGTCCCTGCAGCCAGAGGCTGGCGCCAGGCTCCAGGTAAGGCTCTGGGGAAGCCAGGCATGGCCCTGGAGTATCCAGGCACGGCCCTGGAGTATCCAGGCTCAGTGCTGGAGCATCCAGGCATGGCCCTGGGGCACCCAGCACCCTGTGCTTCCTCTGTGATCCCAGCTGGGCGAGTTGCACGTCACAACCCAGTGTCATTCTGGATCCCAAGCATCTCCCAGATCTGGGGGGTTCCCCATATTCCCCATCAGCGAGGGGGCGTTATCCCCAAAAGAAGTGCCAAGGGAAGAGAAGCCCGATGCTGTTCTCAGATAAAAACCGACGGCAGAAACCGCTGGTGATTTTTCAAACCATCTTCTGCCAGAGGAGTCACAAACTGTGAACGTGAGCAGCTCTGCCTGCAGCCTCCCCAGCTGAATTGCGGAGATGTGAGGGGGGTTCTGATGGGCTTCACCACCATTTCAGAAGGAAGGGAGATTTGGGAAGGAGGTTTTGCTTCCATGGAAATACTCTGCTCCCGAAAGGATACCGCAGGAAACTGAAATACTCAGCTTTGGCTGCTTTCTGGGAACGCCATGGGCACGTGCCGGCCTTCTGCCGCCCTAGGATGCTTCTGCTTGTAAGAGAGTGAAGAAGGAGCTGTCAGAGAATAAAACTTACTTATTTCTTGATCAGGTAAGGGATTAGGTGAATCATTTGGCCGAAGCCAACAAAAGACACAAGATGCTCACAAATACCACAAAGGAATTTGCATCAGCAACCTGAGCATGAGAAGATTGTGGGCCACTATCGAGCTCCTGCGTTTTCTGGTCTTCTACAGCCACAGAAAGGTCACGTGGCCCAGTGCCTGCACCCAGGATTGCCGGATTCCTGCCCTTTTCATCCCTGGAAGCGTTCAAGGCTGTTGATGGAAACATCAACATCCCGAGCTGCGATGGAAATGGAACACTAGTCACCTCCTTGACATTCCCAAGGTCAAGGGAAACCACTGCAGACAAGGAACGGATCCCATGCCCACAGACCTGCCGCAGGTGCCGTCCTGGCAGAGGAACTAGCCAAGCTGGAATGGGAATCAGGCTTTCTGATCTTTCTGATGGCCATGCTGGGACACACGCTGGCCCGGATAATCCCATGGGCACGCGGGACCACGGCAGAAGGCTGGTATCTTGGACCTACCCTCAGTGAGCACAAGGATATTTTGTGTAGTTGCTTACCCTATCAAAGGAGGAACCAGGAAACAATTCCATGTGACTTCTTGTTACATAGGAAAAAGGACACCTCCACGCTCAGTGAAATAAAGGATGAAACAGAAATGCTACCGGGGCACTGGAAAACGCCCTCAGAGGGAAGGGACAAACCCTGCATGTGGTGGATGAAAAGGACAACTCTGCTCATACAGCAGTGAGGAGCAAGTCCCTTACCTGAGCAAATGCTGGGCCACCGACGGGTGAGCGGTGAGCCGCCCGCCGTACATCTCCGAGGACGCCCAGTGCATGATGGCCTGGTGCATTCGGTACTGCACCGTCAGCATCTTCACAACCTTCTCCCCGTACCGCTCCATCAGGCGCTCCATCAGGCTGAGCGAAAGGCCCTCGGCAGCAGCCCTGCAAGGGAGGAGCACAGTGGAGTCGGACGCCTGCCGCGAGGCGACGACCGCGGGTATGGATGCAGCCCTCCGCCGGCTGAAGGCCGGCTGGAACTGGACGCAGGGGCTGTCAGGTACCGGCGTGAAGCTGCAGTGCTTCGGGAAATTAAATTGGGGTGGGAGGTTGGACAGAGAATCACGCACCTGATGCTCAGGAGTATCTATTTTAAAGTACCTAAAGTAAAGCCAGGAAAGCTAAAATTACCAAAATAAGCCCAGGGCAGCCAGTATTTGCTGCTACCCTGGTTTCACCTTGCCTCACACGCAGGAAAAGGCCGTATGCTTGAATGCACCTTCCCAGGAAGGAGGCAGGGAGACCGGGAAAGATCCCAGTGAGGGAGGATGAGGCCCTGCTGCTCTGCACAGGTAAGGCTTCCTCCTCCAGCTCCTGGAAGAAATGCCACACATCAATGGTGACAGCTGTAGCCAAGTGGAACCGAGCGTTTCCAAGGCTTTTCTGTGCCCACTGTGGTGTGAAACATCCTCCGTGGGCTGGGTGTGCGGGGCCAGCCTGCCGCGTAGGTGTCACGAATGGCCATCACCAGGGGACAGAGGGAAGGGTTTCCCATGGGGGATGGAGCTGTGCCCACAGTCATGTTATTACTCTCTTAAGATAATTGGGTTTTTTGATGTTTGCATAACTTGAATATTAAAAAAATCTGTTGCTTTCTAAACATACTCTAAGACAAATAATACTACTTTAGACAAAACTGCAAGTTCCCTATGGTTTTGAGAAGATGGCTTGTCTGGTTTTCCTTTTTCAGCCAAAATTGAAGAATTAACATGTACATATTTAGTGAATACAGTTTTAGAGGTGTTAAATGTTTTAAGAAAAATCTCCAGACATAGCCCTTAGTATTAAATTAATGAATTAAATGTTTTATGATGAACTTATAGCTGCAGCTGCTTATTCTGCTGCTTTCTTCTCAGACATCCTAATTTGTCTTCCCAAAGTGTTTTTGAAAGTGTGGAAATATCTATGGGACATGACATTATTAGACACGGCTCTCAAAAATGTTGAAAAGCTGCTCTAGTTGTTCCTTTCTATTATTTATGTGGTGATAGGTTCGTTTGGGGTTTTCCTGCTTCCCTCTTGCTCCCTACTCATCCTCTGGGTAGCTGGTTCCCTCCCTAAGAGAGAGAAGGAGACACTGGTGTGTCTCTGATCCCCGCTGCACACCCCGAATTCGGGCAGCACAGTCTGGAGAAGGATGTCTCTGCCTTTTCCCACCTCAAACTCCGTGTCACGCTCTGGGATGGCTACAACAGGCCGAGGCTGTATGGACATGCCAGGTATCGCTGTCCTGTGCTTTGTGCTCTGGGCTTTTCTACCCCAGTACAGGTTTAAGGGGTTTCCCAAACAGAGAGTAAGGCTTGCAGAACTCCCCCTTTCTCTGGATATGGTGGATTTTTTCAAATCCTTGTAAATACGATGGAGGAGGGAAGCTTGTTCCTTCCAGCTGCGGAGGCTACCAAAGAAAACCGAGGCCTGACACTTGCTCTTGGAAATCCATTGGGAGCTGACATGCAAATCAGCCAGTGACTGAGCCTGGGGGACCAGCACGAGGAGTTGGGATGGTGGAGACGTCCACGTTGGCTGCAAACAAGACTGCAAAATATTCCTGTGCCTAAGAAACTAGTTGAGAGCAAGAGGTGTGATAAATATCTGCGGATATTTGAGGAGTGTAAAACCAAATTAATAACCCAAGCTCTGATGTGGAAATAGATTAATTAGGATGTCAGAAAAGGATGGAATGAGGACTAACATGAAAACAAGGAAAAGAAATGTTCCTGTCAGACAGCAGAAAGTGTCCTGGCAGTGAGATGCCTCTGGGAGTGGGCCAACACCCGGGAGGAGGCTCGAAGCCGACATCCGTGAGCTTCGGAGCGGGCTGCCAAGGGGGGAACTGCAGGGGACCGGCATCTGCCATCGCCGGGAGACCTTGCAGAAGAAACACACCCAGCACGGAGAAGACGAAGGTGAATGTACTGCGAGGTGTGCAGGGGGATGCCCTCCGCATCCTGAGGTAACCCCAGGTAGGCCCAAAGGGAGGCAAGAGCAGCACCCTTCGGCCTCTCCACCAAAACCCCCTTAGCCTCAAGTGGAAATAACCTGATGATGGTAACTGAGAAATGCTGGATCCGTGGAGGGAAAAGCAGGCAACAAGGAGGTTGGTTATACCAGACAGGGCCTGGCTCCCCGGGCTGAGCACAAGCTGTCTGATCGTGTTTGCAGGATGCAAAGCATCGGAGAATCCCTCCTTAACAGCGGCTTCCCACTTGAGCGGGACTGACTTCGCATACCGTAGTAACAGACGGTCCTTCTGTCAGCCCGGATTCATCCCCGCGAACTTCAGACCCTTCGCTGAGGCCCCGAAAATAGAAGTCCACCCACTTCAGGCCTGCTGTCATCAATGGAGGAGAAGGGGAAGGTAGGCGGGAGGTTTGAGCCCGCTGCGTGAATCACCCCGGCAGCAGCTTACCGTGTTCCATCATGCGAAGGGGAGATGGCAGGTGACTCGGTGCCGTAAATACGTCCCTGGAAAGACCTCACAAGATGGAGGTAGAAGGGATCTGCCTTTGCGTCGCGTCTCGCAGCCCGAGGGACCGCGAAAAGCGCAAAGCGGTGCTCTCCCGCGTCCGCTTTACGCACAGCGCGCGCCGTGAAGAGGAGCGTTGGGTCACGTGCCTCGGTCGAGGCAGCAAACGCCTTTACTGGGCAGCAATTAAGGACGGGGCCGGGGTTCAGGTCGGTGCGGAAGAGAGCTAATCCCTGCTGAAGGCGTTTAGCTGAAAAGCGACTGCATTCCTCAAAAGAGGTTGTTCTGATCAATCACAATCACAGGTTTTGCGTTTAACTCGGAGGCTGTCGAGCCCAATGGTCAGCTGCCCCGGCCGGACCTCCCTGCGCATCCTCTCCATCACGGCCTGGCTGGGATCTCACCAGACCGCACTAGAGCTCGAAAGGAAGAAACCCTTCTCCTTCTCGCTTTCTACCAGCCTGGCGCGTGTCGGCCCAGGTGTCTCTACAGGACAAACGCTCTGCACCGTGCTGTTTAAACCCAAACGGTCTGTCCAAGCGCCCTCTGCCCTACAGCGCGGCAGACTCCAGGGAAACGCTGGTCTCCTGGAAAGAGGAGAGGGGAATTTTGCTGTTCCCAAACATCGGCTGGGAGGGGACGACTCCAGACGAGTGCCTGCCTGATGGGCACCCACTCCCACTCCTGCCTGCAGAGATAATGCCCACCAGTGTACCCGCCTGCAATCAATACCCATGGGGCTGCTGCCAAGGGCTCCTGCTGAGATGGAAGGTAAAGCCATAAATAGCTCAAAAAGCTGCTTTTTCCACTTGTTTTCCTGCATTCTCAGCCATCCAACAGTCAGCAACGGGCAAAGCTTGGAAACACCCAATCTGGATTTTACTTAACCAGATGTCAAGCTCCAGCAGTGAGGGGAAGGACGGGAAAGGTGGCCTCGCAGACAAACACCAGCCTGGGGTTCAAGACACCCTGCTCAGCCCTAGAAGCCACCCCAGGTTTCCTGCGTGACGTGGGACGAAATGGAGAGAGCAATCCTTCTCCCTTCACGCTGCTTGTTCCGATCGTAACGGGGACCACGTGCCTAACACAACAGGGTGTCAGCTGGAGTTTTCCAGTGCTAAACGAACAGCCCTCACTCATAAACACCGAAAGCTGGGTGCTCTCTGGTTCCCTCCTGTGCAGCTTCTCTTGTGGCACCACCATGGCCGAGTTCCTACTGTGGCTTTTCCCTGAGTGCATGAGCACACTCAGGTCTCGGCTACATTATTTATTTCTACGGAGCTGAAGATCTCCCGGACTCTCACACTTTGAGGGATTTGCTTCCCAGTAGCTAATAGGTTTCCAGAGTTGCCTGGGGAACTGAGAGAAGACCGGCCGGCACAGGCAGCAGCTTCGGAGCAGCTTTGCCTTTTAGGCTAAACCAGAGACTTGCCTGGAGAGCGGCAGCATGAGGACACAGCCCATAATTCCTCCTGGTAAGCTGAAATCAGCTCAGCTTCTTGCACTTCATCTTCCAAAAGGCAAGTGGCTGGGAGGCTGAGCTGGTGACTGGTGTCTGGTCTGAGCAGCGCCTGGGGCGTGGACCTGCTGATGCCTTCAGCAATAATTCTGTTTAATGCAGCAACCCCTTCGGACCGTAATTTACTGCTAAGCCAGGCCGAGTCGCAAATCTGTCAGCGCTCCTGATCCAGGCCCACGTTCTCTCTGCGGACTGATTTAAAATCTACTGAACTGCAGGAAGGGCACAGTGACACCGTGTTTAAACTTCGCTAGGGTTTCTCACCCAAAAGGAACTGCCCCACAAGAGACGGGAGCTGAGCTGCCCGCACAGCTGCTAACCCTGCCACGGCTGGAGAGCCACGAGATCTGGCTTCTACCCACGCTCTCCCTTCGCTGTGCAAAGATCAGTTCTTTGTGCAGCGAAGATTCTGGAAACACGGAAAGAAAACATGCAAAATCCACAGGCTCTTTTTAAAGAAAAGCAGTGAGAACAGCGAGGACAAACAACTTGGTGCAGGTCATACACACGGGATCATAGAATCATGGAATGGTTTGGGGTGAAAGGGATCTTAACGCCCACCTGGTTCCAACCCCCCTGCTATGGACAGGGACACCTTCCATAGCCCAGGGTGCTCCCAGCCTCATCCAGCCGGGCCGTGGCCACTCCCAGGGATGGGGCATCCACAGCTTCTCTGGGAACCTGTCCCAGTGCTCCCACCCTCTGCGGGAAGAATTCCTTCCTCATGTCCCATCTCCATCTGCCTCTTTCCGTTTAAACCCATCACCCCTGGTCACGTCACTCCCTGCCCTTGGGAAAAGTCCCCCCCAGCTTTCTTGTAGTCCTCCCCGGCACCGGAAGGGGCTCTGAGGTCTCCCTGGAGCTTCCCTTCTCCAGGCTGAACAAGCCCAATTCTTGGGCTCTAAGAAGCCAAACTGTTCCTGATGGAGAAAGAGGACACCATCGCCTCTGCCCGCAGGAGGGATGCAGACTTGTGGCAGCCTCCCACGGCAAAGTCAAATGAACTCAAACCCGAGGGAGAGAGAAGCACAGCTCCTCAAGCAGGACGAGGAGATCCAGGAGATCTGGACCAAAGGGGTCCTGCTGCTGAGGAGCTTCTTGCTGCTGACTCCACAGCGCAGCCCCAGCAAAGGCTGCTGGCATCCTCATCATGAGGGAGCAGATTCAAGCAGCTGGGCAGGTGACGTAATGTTTCTGGGGCTCTTCTGAAGACAATCTGCTTCCTTTCGAAGAGGGGCCAAGCCTGACATCAGCCAAGCATTAGGCCCGATCACCCACGGTAACAGCACTGGCATTTCTACTATGTTTTGTCCTTAATCTTGGGAAAATAAGGCTCCAGGCTCTGTTCTGGGGCTGGGCAGCCCTGCCTGCCTCCCCAGAACGCAGCTGCTGTCTTGGGAGCACAGGGACTGTTGGGGGAGCGTTTCCATCCACCTAAAAAGTACCTTGCACGTCAGCAAGGAGTTCTCCTCTACTGGGAATAGTTTTGTTATCTGACTCGGCATTAAAGCAATGCCCTACTAATGGAAGGGAGGCTGCAGCCCCCCACCAGCCCCTGCCTGCTCCCTCCCACCGTAGGCTAATAACACGTCAGCTGAGCACAGCCTCTCCCCAGCCCTGCCCAGCCATTCGGCTTCTGCGTGGAGGTAAAATCAGTTATTCCCAGTCTACAGAGGGGGCAAACCTCGGCACCGAGACACAGCCTGCCGACTCATGGTAGATAAACAGCGAGACAAGAAGGGTGAGGGGTTCTGCGTAGGCTTTTTGCATCCCTCCAGCCTAGACACCTCCGCCAGACAGTGGAGGAGTGGGCTCATCCCCTGCCAAGCCCTGCACAGCAACAAGCATTCGTGCACCCGACAACGGTAAATGAGATGATACAGCGCCTTAACGCCACACGCAGCATCTCTTCACCACCTGCAGGGAGCCGCTGCCTCCCCTGGATTTCTCATTTCCTCAGCTCAAAATTCAAGTGCGATTATAGATACTTATCTTGCTCATTATTTTTTGGAAGCAGAAGTGTATGAAGTCAGCCCTATTTCTCCGCTTCTGCACAATGACGGCTCAGTCATCCCAGACCCGGAGCGAGATAAACACGCACACATTCATGTTTTAAAGCACCCAAAGGCTCCCCAGGACCATCCCCGCGAAGCACAGGCAGTTTACGCTAGCCACAGATCTGCTCCACAGACTAACCGTGCTGAAGACGCCCGCTGCAGGCATCGCGAGGTTTCCAGTCACTGCGGTGCGTGCGACGACGCAGCATCTCGGTGGGCCAAGCCCCACGTTAATCCGTTAAATAACCAAATGTGGAAGCACAGCGGCAGAGTTTAATAAAGGGAGGAGAAGGCTTGGATTAAACTGAGGATGAGCCTGGATTCACCCTGTGGAGGCTGCGGCCAGTGAGGAGGAGGTAAGCTGGGCTGCTCTTCTTGCCAGGTGCAAGGAAACCTCAGGAAAAACAGATCATCTGGCTTAAACCCAAATATTTTAACGTTTATATATAAATACTGGTCAGTGAAAGCAGAATTTGTGTCTCTGCTTTGTTCGCCTTCTGTTTGCTTCCCATTTCCCTCCTCTGAGTGGCTGATGGGATTGTTCTAAACTGGTTTTTGAACAACTTTTCTAACCACTCTGAGAATGACTGCGTAACAGAGAGCAAACCCAGAATCCAAGCACAGCGCTGCTAAGCACGCGGCATCGGAAAAACATCTCTGCTCATCACACCTCTCGGGAGGAAACGTCTGCCAAAACACACACGATCTGGAGCAACGCAGCGGCAGTGCAGAGTGTAAGTGCCCCTCCCGAGGAGAAAAACCCAGGCCGACGCCGCAAGCTCAGCGCACCGAACTCCCTGGGGCCGGGCGCGTGTCCGGGGCCTTCCGGAAGGATGAACCAAGCACACTGACCCACCCCAGCAGCACCAGCCAGGACAGCACCTGCCGATGTCATGCTCCCTGTCCGCTGTTTATCCCAGCGGCACCTCCCCTGGCGCAGGGGCCGCGGGAGGGTCCCCACGCTGTTACCGAGGTGACACCTCCATGGTGCTGCGGAGCCACGGCTGGCACTCCCAGTGTGACACATCTCCCCGAAACACGGTTCGGCGAGAGCTCCTGCCCGTTCCTGCTGCCTCGCTGCGCTCGCCCTCCCCGTCTGCCCTGCGCGTTCTGCAGAGGATCCTCTCCACTGCGAGCACATAACTCCTAAGTAAATGTGGGACGTGGGCAAAAGGCAATCCTGGAGCTGGGACTGGAGTCCCTGATGCAAAACGAGCACAGCAGTGTCAAAGGCATGCAGCTCCCCGCTGTATTCCCACTGCGGATGGCCAGGATCTGGTACGGAATCACCTCCTGTTGCTGCCGTTTGCTTTAGCAGCCCTACCAAGGTAACCCACCTGAGGTTATTCCTCCAAAACTCGATCCAATGCCCCAACTTCTGCAGGCCACATCTCCGCTCCCGCACGGATGAGAGACTCCCAGGTGGACACACCTTTGAGAATTCCCCAAAATTCCAGAGCGGGGCCAGAGGCTGCCTGTCTGCCAACTGGGAACCCTTGCAAGCCCTGGAGCCGGTGCCCAGCAGACACCCATCCGCAGGAGAGGCGCCGCTCCAAGCCGGCCATGCGCGTTTCGCCATGGTCACGTCCTCCGGCGATATGAAAAGCTGCCCAGCCGGAGCCGCGTGAAGCAGTGGCTATCAGGAACACAGGCCGGAGGGAATTCTGGCAGCGTGACCAAACCCAGCCCACGGGAGACACCACCAAACAATCCCCGCAAAGCATCCTGACACTCGAGGCATTCCGAAGCATTTGGCTGCATAAATAACAGTTGGATCCGGGACTGGGAACCGCTTCTTACTTGTGAGAGATGATGGTGGGGGGAAGCTGTTTGTGGTCCCCGGCCAGGATGCACTTCGGAGCCTTCAGCAGAGGGATCCAGCAACTGGCTTCCAGGGCCTGAGCGCACTCGTCTATCACCACGAGGTCAAAGTGGTTTTCTGGAAGCAGCTTCAGGGGGCCGTCGGATGAAGCACCTGGTTAAGGGAGAAGGGGCACAGCTTAGCAGAGAAGCACAGAAGAAGCAAACAAACCCTACGTGCTTTAACTGTGATTGAGGTAAAATAACTGTATCATAGAATCATGGAGCTGTTTGGGTGGGAAGGGACCT